CAAAACATTTAACCAAAATAAATAATTTAAATTATTAAAACGAAACTCATAATTAAACAAATATAAACTTCCAAATCCAGACGGGAGAAAAGAAACTCCTAATTCCTTCTAAGGTGACCCAACTCAACATGGTAACTTTTCCCAACACCAAACTATATTAATACAAATCATATGGGATTGCCAACAGAATTAAAAAAGCTAAAAATTAAGACAATAAGAAAAACGAATAGAACAAAATAAAATGAGCCGAACTTTAAAAAATAAATGTATAAATAAATAAAATAAATTGATTTGAAATCAAAGTTCAATTGATTTTTCAACTTGAAAGCCCAATCAGATAGTGATTTGGCCAGAAGATCCTTCATCACTCAAGACCTTCGCAGCAGCATCCTTGAGTCCCCTCATTCTCCGGCGAACTTCCTTCCCATCTTCTCCTTCCATAAGACTTTTCACAACTTCTGCAATCTCTTTCCCGGTCCCACCAACCCTGATTCATGACTTTTTGGTCTCAATGCTACCTTCAAACCCTCTGTTAGCATCACCGCGTTCATCTTTTGCTCTGCGAAGAGTGGCCAAGCGAAGAGACCACCGTGGACAGTGCTCTCCAGAGTCGAGTTCCATCCGCAGTGGGTCAAAAATCCATCTTGTGGCACGGTGGCTTAACACCTCCGTTTGCGGTGCCCACGACGGACCACTAGGCCTCGGCCTTGTGTCCTCTCCAAGAACCCTTCTGGCAAGAAGCTAAAAAAGGTCATTTTGGTTATGTGCATTGAAAAATGCAGCACTAGCATTGTCACTGGGTTCTCACAACCCATAAAAATCTGCCACTCAATTCCAAACCCAATGCTAATCAGTGAGCTGGTCATGAGAGAGAGTCCCACCACTTCCGAATGACAACAAATACTACTGCCCACTGGTTGATCATCCAACCATTGCAAACACTCTGGCCGTTCCGAACCCATCACTCAGACCGGTTCGGATAAGCGGTCCGACCGGATAAATTGGCGGCTTGCCCAGCTCGTCCACAAACAAAGCTTTTATAGCTCCCTCTTCCATGTCACGAAGCTATTCACAATTATGCCTTCGGCTCTTACCATACCGCTTAAAACTGCAATGAGTCCCTTGTATGCTTATTTGACCGGTCTTGAAACGGCTCCGAGAGAACTCTACCCTGAACCGGTACACAACCAGGTGATTGTATCGGTTCAGTAGGTCTCTGTACTCGCCCGTAACCCGTCTCATCGATCTTCGGCAAATGAAGGCAAAACAACAATGACATGGCTGAAGAAGGAAAAAACAAGTACGGCGAGACGCCGAACTCTTTGGCTACATCGATTGGCGTCGATTCCGAATTTGATCGACGATGAGAGAAACCAACCGCGGTAGGTGTGGATAATGAAGCTAAAGTGTGTTTGATAGAGGGAAGAGAGTGTAACGACCCAATCTTGGCAAGGCAAAACCCTGCCAAGAGGGTGCACTCAAACGCTTAGCACCTTTACACACAATTCCTGTATAATCTTACATCACATCACCACATCACCAAAAGGATAAGACCTTTCAATTGCCTAACATATATAGATGATCTATTCAAAGACAAAAAAAGTATTATCATGCTCAAGATAGTTCCAAGCATTTCCTCCCCAAAAAATATAATACATACTAATCACGAATCCATCAATACATCCAAAATTCATAAGCAATATTTGCAATCAAACCTCCTTCATTAAAAAAAAAGGGTAAGCTTACATCCTAGAATGACCCTAAGCAAAACCTCAACCACAAGATGCCCACCTGTGATCCTTCAAAAAAATTTAGTCTTCCAAGTTGAGGCGAGCCACACAAAGTCTATGAATCTGAAAAAAAATTATTTAAAGAATGAGCTAAAGCCAATGAGTATACCAATACCATGGAGTTATAAAACTTGCTCCTACCAATAGGGTTCAAAATAAAGATTACTAAACATAAGAGCTTATTGGACTTAAATTTATACAAAATTAAAAATAAAATGATGAAATACAATTTTCATAAAACGTTATCAAGATTTTTCCAAGAATCTCATAAGGCAGAAAAAAAAAATACATTTGGATAATGAAAGTAAACAAAAATATAACTTTTCAATACATTAAGATTCCTGTCCATCATACAATCCACTAATAGCCTTAGGATCGCGTTACCTCGCGACTTAGGTGGTGACGGTACGTTACCCAAAACATAACCATAGGAACATAGCTCATGTCATCGTAGCACTTCAATTCTCGTTTCAATGTTTCGGTCCCCGGGACCCTTATACATACAACGACCCTTATGGTCCTTAAAACATTTCGGTCCCCAGGACCCCAAAGCATTTTGGCCCTTGTGGCCCCAAAGGCTATATTCGGTTATATGATCAATAAATAAAATACCCTACATAACATTTCACTGTCATTCAATCTCATCATCATAAAATTTGAAAGACTCAACTTAAATAAATTCTCATAAAAAAATTAATGCTTCATTATACAAATGAAACATATCTTTATTAAATCAACCCTTGGCCTCAATAAATTTTTAGATTTTCTTTTTATACAATATCATGATGAAATGTATTATTCATTTCCTTTAATTCAAAATTTATTTCAAACTTTGTAATAAAGATAGAGGTAAGGAATTTCCATGGAAGTATACTCACCTCCAAATTAGCAAAAGCATAGATTAAAACTCTACGAATTAATTCCCAAGAGGTGTAGAGACGCCTCCCTCCAGTTCCTACAATTGGTAATAGGATCTAAAATTAAGGAAAAACTTTCAATGAAATTACAACATCTACAAAATTTATCCTAAATAAGACATGCTATGGAATGACAAAGTTAAAGAACTCCTCCAACTTCAAGTCACCCAAACAAACTTCTTACCCAATCTCCACAACACCCATCCTTTGTACATTTTTTTTGAGCTAATAAACTTTTTAATATCCAATCAATTTATATGCACAATACCACCATCAATTAACTACAAAAGTCAAAAAATCAACATTTTCATAAACTCAACAACTTAAGTAAAACCACTTCAATCATTTATAAATTCCTCCATAGAACATAGAGATACCCAATCTACCATTTATCAAGTCAATTTCAACATATAAAATTTCCTAACACCAAAATCCCAATTTTTTACATCACATTCAAACCCTAGATTAACCCAAATCTTAATTCTCCAAAACAACATCAAATTGATCATTTTTCTACATGTAAAAACACTCATAGAAACTGATTGAGAGTATAAAACCTCAAACAATCAAACCCCAAATCATAATGATCTAAAATAGAAAATTTCATCATCTTTAAACTCAAAATATGTAAAAACCCAATTTACCCAATTTAAATAATTAATCTTCAAATCTTCATTTTTAATCCTCTAAAAATCCATCTTGAATCAATTTATGTCTAGATTATTTTAACTATATAAAAAAAAAGATGAAATTTCTTACCTTATGATGATTTTTCCACAATTTTTTTGCTTGACTCTTGGTATCCCACAAAACCCTCTTCTCCTTTGTTCTTCCTTCAATTCTCAAGCCTTGAGTTCCTTCCTTCTCTCTCTCTCTCTCTCTCTCTCTCTCTCTCTGGGCCTTTCTCTCTTTACGGCTCAAGCTCTCTTCCTGAATGTCAAAGAATGAATTCAATGGGCTCTATCTAATACAACGTATAAACAATGAACAAACACACACACAGCCTTCTTTTCACATCCAGATTTTCTCAACACACACACACCCACAAACACACCCAATTCTAGATTATTCTACAATTTACTGTATGATCAAAATTAATTTAACTAAGCAACACTTAGTCTTAATAAATCTTGATTAACACATAATTAAATCAATCATGACTAATCCCAAATCCCACTTAATTTAATTAGTCTAATCTGACTTCCTTTAGAGCCCAATTAATAATATTTAAATTTATTAATCTGAATCAGATTTTTTTTTTTTTTAATCAAACTCCCAAAAGGCTCCAAATATTAAATTAAACTTATTGTCATCATCAATTTTGATTTCTCAAACCATTTAGGCCTTCAATTTCTAATCAGACTCCAAATTTCCGTCAATAAATTACATATTCAAATTGGACACACCATAAATAAATTTAATTCGTAATAATCACAATTTTCAATCCTCATAATTTAATTAACCTAATTAACTCCAATTCAGACCTAATTAATCGAATCTCAATTCTACTAAACTGAATCGAATATTTAATTAAACTCCCAAATGGGTCCGTAATTAAAAATTAAATTGATTCAACTTCTTAATTTCACGTCCTTAAGCCATTTGGACCCTTAATTTCTAATTGCAAAATAAATCTTTAAAAGAATCATATACGAATCAGATTCCACAATTATCATAAATCCCAAACTAAATTAGGATAACGACTAATTAAAATCCCAAATCTCCTTAATTAACCAAATATAAAATATTATACGTGGCGGGATTGTCACAATCTCTCCCCCTTAGAAAGTTTGGTCCTCCAAACTTAAGTCACTTGTACTTGAAAACGAATCAAATAGCTTTGCTTCATTTCATTCCTCCTTTCGAAGTAACTTTCTTACCATTCGATTTTCTCGTCACAGGAGTTCGACTCATTCTCATTTATTTGTTGGTTAATAACCCAAATTGGTGATTCATCATAATCTATATTGTCATCAAAGGCCATTCAGTAATCAATAATATGTACTAGACCTTGAAATCAACCTCATAACATTAAACCATGAAACATATTAATCACAATGTACTATTCTCGTCAATCACTTAATTCATATACTTCTACTCATCCATTCACATGTCTCCAATAATTCACATATTGCCAAATAATCCACACGTCTCCAATCATTGAGGATCAATCACAAATGATATTCGTGATCCAACTTAACTTCAAATAAATCAAAATACTCCATTATTGACATCTCATATGAAGTCTCCAAAATAGACTAAGTATTTAACACAGCCTTAATGACAAATTCAATTTTTTTTTTGGGTCCACAAATACTCGGACCACAATGGCCTTATTGACAAATCAAATAGGCTGGGGTTTTACTCCATTGGTTCCACAAAATAACTATTTAATCTCAAAAGTCAAAGACGACTCGCTTAGGTATATGATCACATCCACTTGAGAGATAGAAAATCCATTCACTCAAAACGTTACATTCTAGGGTCCATATCGAACCATAATCATAGTACAAGTTCCCAAGTAATATAATACTCTAACTAACGAAAAAAAACATTTTTTATTTAGTTATTTATTATTATATAATAATATTTCCAATGATATATTCATCTTATAACAATTAGCTTCAAATGAATGGATGGGTCTTGAATCAATTAACGTGTGGACACTTTACTCACAATTAGTTGAGGTACACGAAATAACAATCTTATTCTAATTGTCTTAACAATCTCATATTGGGTTCCAAATGCCTAAGCAAATAAATTCTAAATTTTCCAATTCTCTTGTATGCATATATAACTTACTTCAACCATCAAGTAGCATCAAAGCTATCATCAAAGTATTTTGAAACCAAATTTTGTCTTTCTCAATCCTTTGCAAGTTAGTCAATTCAAATTCTTTGTCCTAAGAGGTTCTTAAGAAATATGCATTTATAACTTCCGCAAAAATATTTTCTTGCTTTTCATTTCGCAATAACTCTTCTAAGTAGTAGTACTAGATAAAGGCTTCTTTACAATAAATCTAAGTCTTGGTCATACTCTAATATTCTTAGCATTTTCAGATGGAGTTCCAAAATCCAAGTAAATGTATCTTATGTCTGCCAAACATTAGGTAGGAAAGATTCACATATCCCAAAACATATATGACATAACAACTCAAAATTCTATACACATGCTTAAAGTACTCCTTTACTTAGCAATTGGGTTAGAAACTAATCTTTAAACTGACTGGCTGACTTGAAATCTCCTTAAAATTTTATTACTCCTAAATAATCCTTCGTTAGTTGTTTTATCTCTCCATATTTGTAGTATGCTCTTAAAATTCGATGATATACCCCGTTATAATATTTGCAACAAATTGAACATTTGGGGAATGAACTTATATCTTGCTTAAAATTTCTTACCACTCCAAACTTTGCTTAACACTTAATACTCTGCTTCTCAAACATATTATGTAATTCCTTCTTTGACTTAACACTTTACTTTTCTTATAATCTTGCAGTTTCCCATAGCATTATTGCCTAGCTTTCATTATATTTCTTAACACTTCCTCTATTTTGCCCAATTGCTCCAACATAGACTCAACTTCCATTTTGTTCTTTCTTCTCATTATCTTTTCTTAGAGTCACAAGACAAGATAGATAACATTCGGGGTAATATTGGATAACCTAAATCATACATCACAAATTCAACCATAATTAAACAATTCTTTTTTTTGCAAAGAGATTGGTAGGGCAACCTATTCATTCCATGAAGTTGATCAAGAATTTCCGATTCGAAACTATGTTGGCCGAACGTGATTCTAATCGGACTTTCAAGGTCATCAACATAAGTATGAACTTCCATGGTTCATATAATAGGTCCTTCATCAAAATAGCATATCATCTTCATATCAAATAGTTTTCTAACTCTCAATCACCATAGTTCGACACACTTCATTAATCATCAAATACTTTAACTTCCTAAAATGTTCTCATAGTCTAATTTTACATTTAACTACATAGCCTTCCTAACTTCCATCAAAAACTTTTAATTCTGTTTAATACTGTGTTCACATGAATCAATATGCATGTACTCACCAATGTGCTATGATCAAAAATTACATTTCCCTTACAACATAAAAAGAAAATTTCACAATAACGCTTATCTTCAACACTAAACTTGTTGAACACACATATCCCAGTCCTTAATCATCGAATTCCAAAATAACCTTTAGTTCTTATAATACTACATTCTCGCAGATCATTATACTTGTACTCACTAATATTTACTTATAATGTGAAAAAGTTCCTCAATAGTTCTTGGCTCTTAGCCTCAATACCACACTTATTAAACAAACACATTTCGGTCCTCTTATAAGCAACAAAATACCCTACAACTCTTAATTCTTGGTTTTAATACTTAAATCTATTACACAAACACATATATTCCCAAGTGCACAACTTATCACTTACTTATTAGATGCATGCAACTTAATTCCGTTCTAGACATTCTAACGCTCAATGGACTCGTGTGGGAGATATTAACTCGAGCTCTGATACCAAAAAATGTAACGACCCAATCTTGGCAAGGCAAAACCCTGCCAAGAGGGTGCACCTCAAATGCTATAGCACCTTTACACCACAATTCCTGTATAATTCTTACATCACATCACCACATCACCAAAAGTGCATAAGACCTTTCAATTGCCTAACATATATGAGATGATCTATTCAAAGACAAAAAAAAGTATTATCATGCTACAAGATAGTTCCCAAGCATTTCCTCCCCAAAAAAATATAATACATACTAATCACGAATCCATCAATACATCCAACTTCATAAGCAATATTTACAATCAACCTCCTTCATAAAAAAAAGGGTAAGCTTACATCCTAGAATGACCCTAAGCAAAACCTCAACCACAAGATGCCCACCTGTGATCCTTCAAAAAAATTCTAGTCTTCCAAGTTGAGGCGAGCCACACAAAAGTCTATGAATCTGGAAAAAAAATTTATTTAAAAGAATGAGCTAAAGCCCAATGAGTATACCAATACCATGGAGTTATAAAACTTGCTCCTACCAATAAGGTTCAAAATAAAGATACTAAACATAAGAGCTTAATTGGACTTAAATTTATACAAAATAAAAATACAAATGATGAAATACAATTTTCATAAAACGTTATCAAGATTTTTCCAAGGAATCTCATAAGGCAGAAAAAAAAAAATAAATTTGGATAATGAAAGTAAACAAAAATATAACTTTTCAATACATTAAGATTTCCTGTCCATCATACAATCCACGAAATTCATTTTTATTAAAACGTTATCAAGATTTTTCCAAGGAATCTCATAAGGCAGAAAAAAAAAAAAAACATTTGGATAATGAAAGTAAACAAAAATATAACTTTTCAATACATTAAGATTTCCTGTCCATCATACAATCCACTACATAGCCTTAGGGTCGCGTTACCTCGCGACTTAGGTGGTGACGGTACCGTTACCCAAAACATAACCATAGGAACATAACTCATGTCAACGTAACACTTCAATTCTCATTTCAATGTTTCGGTCCCCGGGACCCCTTATACATACAACGACCCTTATGATCCTTAAAACATTTCGGTCCCCAGGACCCCAAAGCATTTTGGCCCTTGTGGCCCCAAAGGCTATATTCGGTTATATGATCAATAAAATAAATACCCTCACATAACATTTCACTGTCATTCAATCATCATCATCATAAAATTTGAAAGACTCAACTTAAATAAATTCTCATAAAAAAAAAATTAATGCTTCATTATACAAATGAAATCATAGCTTTTTTTAAAACTCAACCCTTGGCCTCAATAAATTTATAGATTTTCTTTTTATACATATATCATGATGAAATGTATCATTCACTTCCTTTAATTCAAAAATTATTTTCAAACTTTGTAATAAAGATAGAGGTAAGGTAATTTCCATGGTAAGTATACTCACCTCCAAAAATAGCAAAAGTATAGATTTGAAACTCTACAAATTAATTTCCAAGAGGCGTAGATATGCCTTCCTCCAATCCTAACAATTAGTAAAAAGGATCTCAAATTAGGAAAAACTTTCAATGAAAATTACAACATCTACAAAAATGATCCTAAATAAAATTATGCTAAGGAATGGCAAGCTAAAGAACTCCTCCAACTTTAAGTCACCCAAACAAATAACTTATCCAATCTCCACAACACCCATCCTTTGTACATTTTTT